TTGTTACACGTCAACGGATACGGCATCTATACATACCGGTATATATATATATATATGAGTCCGCTCGGTGGTTGAACGATTTAGCCCGTCCACTCCCCTCCTTCTTTTATCTACCGTTGACAGGATTTCGATTTGACGGGTAAAGGGCGGTCTAGACCAAAGAGGGATGCGGGTGCTATAGGGCCGGAACGCGGTTTTATAACTTTCGGGGCATGTTGAGGCTCGAAAATGCACGCGGTTTTGTTTAAACGCAAACAAAAACGGCGCAAAAAATTAGTCCTAGTCTGTTTTTTGTTGGTTTTATGTCCATTAAAAACGAAGATGATCAGGTTGCGTCTTCAAGCGAACCATTTGGACATCTTTCGATGGCATTACACTCGTCATGGCGCCGGTGCATCTACTTGTAGAGCCGATCGCGCTGGTCTCCAGGGCATGACGTGAGTGTGAGAAATCTCGTGCTCGCTATCGCGTCGCAGGCTTCACTTTTACGTATAGTACGCACTCCGAAGAGTTGCCAAGGCGGAGGAAGCTACGTGCTGGTCGGACGAGTATAGACCGTCTGTCTTGCACCACGTGAACACACTTCCTGCGTGTCAACACCACCTAGGATATGAAGAGCCTGCGAACATCCTCATCTACCTTCGTGAAACGTCATCAACTCAGCAATCGGTCCCGAGCTCGACGTCAGGCGTCCTTCGACGCGTTCATTGGACACGAAGATCAGCCGAACGCCGAAGCAGCGCTCGCCTCCAATCTGTGTGTGCGCTTGATCAAGCTGTGATCACGCCCAAATGCTAGTGCGCGGGCTTTACATGTTCTAGATGCTGGCCCGTGTGCTCAGTGTTTGAGTGGTGCCAGTTAGGTTCTAGAGGCATCAAACCTTAGAAAAGCCCTTGCGGTCCCGCGGCAGAGCCACCGTGTGGAACCACTTGCAGCCCAAGTAGTACCTCTTGCAGCCCATGTAGTACCACCTACAGCCAAAGTTGCACCCCTTGCAATCCAAGTGAAACTCCTTGCCACCGAGGTGGTACCCCTGGCAATTTTCGCATGTAAGTTTGGAAGCACCGCATATCTTAAAATCGGTAATGTACGGCTCGATAGCTTTGTTCTTCAAACCATAACTTTATTTCGCGAATAGACTAGAACAAACGCAGCGGCAGTAGCGCCTGGGCCTTCACATTAAAGGCCGGTTCTCACATGCAGCGAAGCGCTGATGTAGCGCTCCTCACGTGCCGTCAGCTACTTATCGTCTGCCATGAGCAACAGTATCGACGGTGCAATACAAAGCTGGTGAACGCTCCCATCAGCACGCGCTTAGCGCGAGGTAAGCGCTATGCTTGTAGCGCTCCGCTGCATGTGGGAACAGGCCTTAAAGGGATACTTCAACGAAATTTGAAATATTCCCGTCGTGTTCAAAAATAGGTTGAATATGATGCACAATATCCGTAAATGACAATCGCACGTTTGTATTTTGATCCTGGTGGCTGTATTTTTCGTTATAAACGGCCCACTCTGGCAAGCGCTCGGAGAAGGCCCAGCTTAGAGCACGTGACATCCAACGTAATCGTGACGTAGGTCGTCTCAAGACGAGCAAAGCTACGGCGAGGCAGACGTAGAGAGGGTGGCCTAGTCGCTTCAGCCACCGAAGCGGCTGCTTTTGTACGAATTTTGAGTGACGGGTTAATCTTCTATAATCTTCTAGGGGGACAATAGCGACTTCTGCGACACACAAAAGGGATTCTCGGGAAGAAGGGAGTTCCTCCTTCCCCCCTTCTCTCCTCGTGGCCGAAGACGAGACAACCTCCGTCACTAGCTGTCAAGGTTCCTAGACGAGCATTACAAACGAGGCGTTAGCGACATCCACCAGGTGCTCTTTGCTAATCGTTTAATTCGTTTTAAAATTCCTTTTCGAGACTTTTTTAACAAGATATTGGTATGTTCCATGTGATACTGCTCTTTTGAACACATATAGACCAAAAACATGAGCACCGAAATTTCGTTGTAGTATCCCGAATAGACAAGAACAAACGCAGCGGCAGTAGCGCCTGGGCCTTCACATTAAAGGCCGGTTCTCACATGCAGCGAAGCGCTGATGTAGCGCTCCTCACGTGCCGTCAGCTACTTATCGTCTGCCATGAGCTAATCTAATCTCGCCCCATTACCGCCTTCAATTTCACACCGGAGGTGAGGACAGAACCCGCAACGTTAATTCCCCCACTAATCGCTTCGTGGGCCGAATCATAGAAGCGGGGCCACACCTGTACCATCTAACGACGCGGGATCGCGGGTGCGCCCGCAGAACCATTTACATGTACCCGCGGCCGTAATATGGATGCCACGCCTTGTTGACTATTAGGGCGTGCATATAGAGCTGCACCGTCTATATAAAAACCAGTGTGGCACTGGATCGACCCCCGAAACCGATAATTAAAATGGGTCCGAACAGGGTCGTTACGCCTAATGTATACGGAACGGGGGGGACAGCGATGAGACGCCAAGTGATATCTAGGGGTGTGTCGATCGCACCCACTAAACGCTTCTTTTTCCTTCCAAACGGTGCTACTGTGGGGCAGATATTTAAAGCCTTCATCCGCTTCTTGACACATGCGTGTAATAATATGACCCGTGATATTTTTGTTTAAAGCGCGGGGTAGTTTTAATTCGAAAACATTAAGTGTCCCATGGAGCGAAGCCGGCGTTGTCTGTAACCATCTGTAGCAGCGAAACGGCAGCTAAATTCCCACTGGTCAAAAGCACAGCAACACAGATGCTTCTTTACGGAAGCCGGCGGGGCGCTCAAGGTCGAAGCGGACGCGTCTCAGAAATAGAACACAAAGAAAAGCACAGCAACGCAGATGCATCGCCACGGAAGCCGTGGAGTTGACGGGGTTCGACGCGCCTGCGCAGTGGGGGAGTGTTACGTCACCGCCTGAGCGCCGTGTGCAAAAGGAAGACCTGGCGCGCTGCTTGTAGGAGTGCGCTGCGTGTACGAATGCTTTCGCATTCCTACTCGTATCACTTATTATACTCCCTTTCACTCTGTGTCCGCAACTGCAGCCGACGCTCGCGTCTTCTTCGTGTTTTTGGTATCACCGTCTAAACCAATGGCGCGCAGAAGCGCAGGATCACGGCGCATTCGCAGTGCGTGATATGGTTCAGCCGGTGACATAGTACAAAAACGGCGAGTGCCGTGACGATGCGCTTTTGGAGCTGTTTCATCGGCTCCATCGTATCTATATAGCGTCGGCTGTCGTCGGACTTGGAGTGAAACGGAGCAGACATACAGTCCGTCACAGGTTAAGAACTCGGTACATGTTAAAGTAGCGACATGTAATCTTAGAAACGTAACGAAAACGCGTTCCTTTCGAACCACTAGGAGCTTGTAACGGGAATCGCGTTCAAGGTATAGAAGGAACGAGGAACGAGTTTTTGTTCCTGTTTTTTGGAGGACCGCGTATACAATAACTGCTCGAAATGCATCCATCCCCTCTCGGCCCATTCGTCCTCCGGAATGTGCCTGATGTATACGATCCCACCGCTACTTCCACGGCGGCTGCGCGTTCTCGGCGGTGTACCCCCCCCCCCCCCCCCCCCCCCCCTCCCCCGAGAATCTCGAATCGGAACAGATTAAAAAAACGGCAATCCTTCGGGGTTTATCTCCATATCTCGGTCTATCGTTGGGCCTGCCTCCCTGCGTGTGGCGCCTTCGTATAAGCGTATCCACTATCGAGAATCCAAGAGGCATACAATTCTTTTCTAAGAAGGCAGTGCAGCAAAATCCCGATTACGTTCTACAATCTACCCAAAAAAAAAAAAAGAAAAAAAAAGAAAACACTAAACGAGACGTTTTTATAACCGAGATGGCTCCTGGTCGATGATCGCGCTCGAGAATGTATATACAAAGCGGAGCGGTCCGAGAATTGACTCTTAATCCGTGTATGCTAAGATGCCGTCAAGATGCATCGATCTCACCTAGGGCTTCGGACAAAAAAGAAAAACAAAGTATAAGACTGTTGACGAAAATAATCACTGGAGAAGGGGAACAAGAGGGACATGTCCAGCTCGCTTGCACCTTTGCATTTAATTGCATTATAATTATAAGACTGTGATCTTTTAAGCGTGCGTTCGTTGGACCAGAGTGTTCGCGACCTTCGATAAAGCATCCCGCAGCGCTTGCAGCGAGTTTGCTTTGTGGATCAGACAGCAACGACAGTGCTTGCAGGCGTACCGCATACAATGTTTCGCTCGAGTGTTGACAAACTGCCAAAAGCAAAGCGTGTAGGTGAACGAGCGGCACTCGCCAAAATGACCCAGATCGCTATGCTGTGCATTACAAATATTTCTTTGTGTTGCCCTGTTCTGCAGGCGTGCGTCATCCACGGTAAATATCTCGGAAGCATCAACTAATTTAGTGGAATAAGACACATTACGGCACGATAAAAAAAGAAAAACGTGACGAACACAGGTGCCTATATTACTCTAGTTCATACCCAGCAGATCTTCAGAAGTCCGTCAAGCAACTTTGGCGTTCGCCAATGCTAGGTGGCGCAACGTACCGCCAGTTTCAAAGGGTATAGCCATTAACATGCATCCATCCATAGTACGAACGCTGACGCAGCGCTCGTTTCCAATACAAGCTGAAGCGAGTTCACACCGAGCGCTGACGTACACCTTCGTGTCGAAGACGTGCTCAGAGTATGTGGTCTAGCAGTGGCAGAGAGGCGTTGGCGCCGCCTTTTGAAAAAGGCTTATTTAGATGAATGCGTGCTAGTTCCACTCAGCAACGGTCGCCTCTTGTATTGTTACCCTTCCAGTCCCAGACGATCAACAGTTTTCGATAACTGTGATACCGCCCAAAAACGATGAAGCTTTATAGTGACCGTCTTGGCCAACGGACTCTGAATTCGGGTTGTTCAGATCACGCTTCATGTTATCGCAGCAGTAGAAGCATTAGTTAGCAACGGCTTTTGACCCCTCGGATGTTTCTCCCCTGTCCCCAGCGGCGAGTTCCACCTGGGGTACCAAAAGTCGAGCCTGCAGAGCATCTCCTGGTACGAACTGGTTCATTGGGAACACCTCCGGGAGGCCCAGTCCAAGCACAGACTCAGTGAGTTCCTCTTGCCGTTCCCTTCTCACCAGGCCAACCCCCGAAAGTTGATTGCTCTAAAGCCGTACTGCCTGACTGTGAGAGTTAATTATGTCCATTGCAAGTCCTGTTTGCACACTTTCGGCGCGGGCTCCTCTGTGTTTCGAGTCCAGCCACACATACAATGTGTTTCATTAAAGCTTAAAAAAATTTTCCAAAAGAAAAAGAGAAAGCCGTGAAAGCTACATTAATGCGGTTTGTGCGGGTGACTCCTGCGGCCGGGGAAATATAATGTAGTGTGCTAATCGTCGCGATAAGTCAAATATTGCACTAAAATTTGTTGATTAACTTTTTAATTAGTGAAGAGACACATGGTTTCAATTAAGAACTTGCTGAGCGTACTAAATCAATCATTTTTAGAAAGACTTTGAGCGCTTGGAAAGCGCGAGTGCGTTAAAGTTACCACTTGAGGAACAGGCAAAAGGCTGGGGCTATATACTTTGTCTCACCTTAGCATGGACTAACTGCGAAGGCTGTGCAAGCGCGAGCGTCAAGTTTTGATTGCTTTGACTGGAGCACTCCGCGCAGCCGCCGAGGCTTCATCCAAAGCACCTAGCTCGCGCTTTTAGCATGCGCGGCTAAGAATAGTCCGCGCTAAGGTGAGACAAAGTATAAACGCTTCCACTCTTTACAAAATCACAATCCACATGAGCCAGAAAGTGCGCGTGCATAACACACAAACGCAGGAATGAACGCGCCCTCATACGCTTTTTATGGAAAGGCTATAATAAGAGTCGGAAAAAACCGCACGGGCGAGTTATCACACACTACTTTGCTCTTGTTGCAAGAGCGGTAACGTTAGCGCTCCACCGTGCTCCAAGTCCTTCTCATATTGACTGATTTAGTGGTTTTCGACGACCCTCAGGAAGGTTTTAATTTGTACCGTATGTTTATTTTTAGTCATTAAAATGTTAATCAATATATTTTGGCAGACTGATCGTTATTAGACCCCTATACTATGCCCCATTGACCGCATAGCTCACCTGCACAAAAGCGCACTAGTGTACCCTGTATATTATATATATATACATATACACGTTTGCAACCAGACACACTTCAAAGGCTAGAATCGCCACCGTGGGTGAAACACGTTTTGTTGGGGCACCCGTCTGGCAGCCGTGGGCATGCCTTACACTATCAGACGTTCTACACACACCAACAGCAAGATGGCGGTGCCCAGAGGCAGAACTTGTAAGCGGGCTCGAAACAACTACCTATCTCTTTCTCCCTGTTTACAAGAACAGACTTGCATAAGACTGGATGCCATGACAAAGAAGAGGGAGATGACCTTTGAAGCGCAGTGAGAGGTGACATTGTTCGCGCGTCCCTTGCAGTCACGCAGTCGGAGCAGGAGCGGTCCTGCATCTTGCTGGTGCGGCTGCAGACCAGCCGGTCGGGGTGGCTCTGGGTGCACGCAGTGCTCCAAGTCAAGGACGGTTCGGACAGCTCCCAGCAGCCCGTCATCGTGTGCACCAACCAAGTGCTCAGGTGAGCGCAGACCATTGCTGGAGCATGCCTGGTCATACCCTTCGCCTGGCTCAGAGACACGCGAAATTGAAGTGCGTCCCTGGATCAGCTTTCTAGAGCGTTCGGCTGTATGGCAGACCACGCTGTTCTCAGCAGTTGGGGAGAAGAGCGAGGGAAGGAATCATTTTCTTTTCTTTGGTTTCTGGGCTAGGTGGCGCAAGCTACCACCCGTTATAAAAGGTGCAGACATTAGCATCCATTCATCCCTCCATTCGAGAACAGTGTGGCCAGGTGGCGCAAGCTACCGCCTGACACTAAAGGTTTACTCATTACCATCCAACCATCTATTCCTGGAGTGGGGGGAGTGTAGCCAGAGAAGGCGGATCCTACCAATTCTCATGGAATTCTCCCAAAAGTCAGGCATATCCAATACATAACAAATAATGCTAACCGCATGCTCGGATTCCTAAAACGGAATTTTTCAACAGTTCCTGTGTCGCTAAAATTACTTCTCTACAAAACACTCGTTCGCTCAAAACTGGATTATGCCTCCTGCATCTGGGACCCCGGTACTGACGTACTAACCTTTGCAGTTGAAGCGGTCCAAAACCGTTCTGCTCGCTACATCCTCACTAATTATCACCGCATCGCTAGCGTAACATCAATGAAATTGGGCCTAAAACTGCCAACGCTTGCTTTGCGCAGAAAAATGTTTCGCTTGTGCCTGTATCACAAGCTATACCATCATAACCCTTTCCTACGTGAAAGGTTACTAACACCTGCACCTTACATCTCGTCACGTCTCGATCATCAACATAAAATGGACGTACCCTCGTGTAAAACTACATCTTTTCATAGTTCGTTCATACCTCGCACCACTCTTGACTGGAACCACCTTCCAGCCTCTGCGGTATCGATTTCCGATGGTGTGGCGTTTAAAAACTGTATTGCCAATATTTATATTCCAGAATTTGACTAACCTATTGTTATTTTTCTTGTTCTGTTTCATGTGCATATCTTAGATTTACTTTATATTATGTAACCCACTCCCCTCTGTAATGCCCTCGGGCCCTGAGGGAAAAATAAATGAAATGAAATGAAACCCTGCTCCTTGCCCTTTGACCTGTCTAGAGCAGTGGCTAGCATTCAATAGATCGACCTCACCAGCCACTGTCACTACGCCACCACTGATGCAATGCATCGCAGAAACCTCAGTCTTCTTGCGCGTGCGGCATCCTCGCTGGAGCTCTGCGCATGCACTGCAGAGCACGATAAGGAACGAGCCTGTCTCGGGCACATTCACCTCACTTCTAAGAACTAAAGTTATGGCGGCTTCACGCACGCGCCGAACGCTTGGTGAGATCGGACTATTTGTCGTTTTATTGAAGTATGCGGGTCGAAACTTTTATACAAAGTGCGGGATGAACAGTCATTTGATACTGGAAGCGCTACGCAAAGGCGGCACACGATATCGACAAGCACTGCCGCATTTGTGCGGCCGGTGCCAGATCGTCGCCGCTCACGAAGGTGCATTTCTTGAAGTGCAGGAACAAGTCACGAGATGCGTGATAACTGCAGCTGCGTAAACAGGGCACGTAGAATAATCACGTGAAATATATGATATGTGCCCGTTAGTGAACTGAAAGTGAAATACACGCCATGAAATGAAGGGTAGCAAGGGGCGGGCTGACGAATTCCGCTAATTTAAAACTAAAAGGCGGCGACGATGTTTTTTTTGTTTTTTTTTTATGAAGTGTATAAACTTTTAACGTAAGCTATTAGTTTAACAAGGTTGCCTTTGCCACCTTGTATATGAACAATATTTCCATCGTTAGATAGCAATTAACTCACAATATCTGTCGCATCAGCTCTATCAAGAGTTCCCTAACTTTCCTTGTTGTTGTTTTTTTCCCGCAGCGAGCGGGAAGCGGCGGTGATGCGGGCCAACTCGTGGCTCTACCAGTACTACTCGCTCCACTCCAAGATGCACTACGGGCTCGCTTACGAGGCCACCCGGCTGCCCGCCTACTACCCCGCCACCGTGATGCCGTATCCTCCACCCCGGGAACAGCCCCAGGCGCCCCTTCCCCACTCGCCTTACCCGCTACCGCATCACTTGAACGGAACACCCGTGCCCCAACACCCACATCACCCAGGAGTTCTCCAGTACGGAGGACCACCGCACGGCGGACTACCCTACAGCAGCATTGCTGCCGGCAGCCCAACCTCGCCGGACCGCAAATGGGGCTCCGCAACAGGAAGCCTGAAGCGCTCCGTGTCCCCCTGTCCTGGCAGTCCTCCGGTCCCCAAGGCGCCCAGACCCAGCTATGGCGCCTTTGCGGAACTGGCGCCCCTCTTGCCTTCTGGATACTATGGTGGGCCGGGCCAAGTCCTTGCCGCAGCGGCACCGGTGCCCGCTGCATTTCGTGCCCCTACGAAACTTCCAGATGACCGGTTGGCCGACGTGGAACAGTCGTTGACGCCGACCAACACCGAAGACGTGTCCCAGATGATCGCCGGCGGAGCGGGCTATCTGCGTCCCACCTACGTGTCCCTGGACGACCCCGAAGTGGCCAAGGCGGCGCGAAGCGTGGCTCCGTACCCTTCAGCGTTGGAACCGCCCGCCTACTACCCGCGCTACCTGGAGCTCAGTCTGACCCTGGAGCTCGCCGACGGCAAGGAGCAGTACGCGGCGGCCGCGCAGAGCTCGGCAGATCTTCGCGAAGGGTTCCTGTACCACCGAGGCGCCTTCGCGCCTCCGAGACTGTCCTGCGATGAGGAGCACAGGCCTGTGGAGATGGACGTGCCCATGGCCGGAGTACCGCACCATTACTGGCACCGACCAGCTTCGGGAGGCTGCAGCCTCAGCTCGGGTGCGGAAGTGGCTGCCGCTTGCCACGCATCTCAAAGTGTCAGGAACATGGCTGAAGAGGCGGCATCTGTCGAGTCCTGACCGAGTAAGTCGCATGAAAGACGTTTCAGCCTATTTAACAAATGTAAGCTATACACTTATAACCGTCATTGGAACATGTCCCGTAAATGCAGCATACCCACATGAAGTGTGTGAATGCCACAACCATCTTAAGTCACCTTAGACCATGCTGCACTTTCTGTAACAAGACCTCAGCTGTCCGATGTTGATGTCGTAATTCTTTATTGCGGTTTTATTAAGATTTTTCTGAAAGAACACTTCCGCTTGGTGCGGGCAAGAAAATATAGCGCAGGGCACAACGTTCCTCACAGCTTGAGGGTCCATTGTAAACTTTTCAGTCTTCAAGCAAGTCGGGCGCAACATAAACAAAATATCCACCATTATTTTTTTTTTTAAATACGGAGGCCAGTGTCCAAAAAGTCAGCCTATGGCATCGGCAGGCCGTCTCTTTGGAGAGCAGTAATAATAAACCATTTCCTTCTTCTGTTCCAGATGAAGCTGGAATCCGCGAGGCGGAGAAGTCTGCAGCCTGAAGACGGCGGCGGCAGTATGGCATATTGTCAGCGGAGAACCTGGCACTTGGAGCCAGGATGCCCATGCCTCCATACCCTTCCACGTCGACCATCCTTTCCTCACAGCCCCCGCGAGTGAAGCCACCGTCCGCCATCGGGCCGTCTGCAAGGGCCCAGGACTGGACAACGAGCCGTTATCCGAGTGCCTTTATTTATTTGAAGAGAACGACGCCAAATCTCCTTGTGCAGTGCGTTCTCTTCTCCGGAACAAATCTTGCAAGACCACCGATGTGTTGCGAGTGTGCGAGAATGACGGTGGTGACGTCACCGGTGGGACATGCGATGACGCAGCAGAAACTCTGCGGGCACCAAAGAGCGGAAGACACCGGATTCATCACGGAAAGCCAACATGCCGTGGCGACTGCATCGTGCCCGCGTAGGTGTCGTTCGGTTAATCAACTCTCGCGACCTTGATGTTCTTCCGACACAACACTGGTAAACTTCCTTCGGCAGGGGTTCACCAGGAGTCGCGATCGCGGCCAGTGCAGTTAGGGACCTAGTGGTTGCAATGTCGCGGCCAGTGCAGTTAGGGACCTAGTGGTTGCAATGTCGCGGCCAGTGCAGTTAGGGACCTAGTGGTTGCAATGTGACGTACCTCCGGGCGACTCTCACTTACGTTTCCTTCAGTGAAAGAAACTAGCCTGCAAGGTGTCGAGAGAATGTTCTTGGACAGTAGGAGTAGCATGTCCTCGACCCCCGCGTTCGCGAGAGTTGAATAATCGAACGCAACCCAAGGCCAGATATCATTTCCGTCCGTTTTGATTGCCGTGCAAGCGGCTCCGAGGAAAGCTCCTAAGAAGCCACACAATCATTTTTTCAGGAACGTTCTAGCCAAGAGCCAGCCGTAGGAAGACGTAAAGCGGTTAATTGTTTCAAAACAAGCGAAGAACTGAGTGAGATGGGGACTGTTCCCACCCATGTCCGATTCATACCATTTCACACCCCCTTCAACCAGTTGAGGTAAACTATTGTGCAACTATCCGTTATAATTTTTTTTCCAGCACTCGTGCTAGATTTGCGTGCTCGTTTTGTCTGTGGTTACTGCCCTTATTCTTCGTAAGTGATTTCAAACTTTTTCATGTTCACTTTGATGTCTCGGGCCAAGGTGGCGTTCAAATTCTTTGGAATACAGTACGTCCGACACGTTTGAAACGAGACAGTTCCAGAAACAGTGTTGCCATCAAATTAAGATTTCTTTTTTTTTTTTTTTTGTGGTGAGTTTGAAAAGTTAAAAGTATTGGAAGTGCAATTTGTAACGAAAAGAAAAAAAAAAAAAATAAGCCACCAACGTAAGCTATTTGGCCGTCTCAAAGTACGAACAGGTCGAACACAGAATCGCTTCTTGACTACAAATACAGAAAAAAGTGAAAATTTTAAAATATTGTTCTGGCAAGCGAGTTCTCGTTCGGTTTAGTGTCTGTTCTTATATTTTTTTTTTACAATAGCTTCAATGCACAGTGTGTAGTTTAGTCTTTATTTTCACTACATAAAAAGCACAATTGTAGCCGCGTCCGAAACAACCACCTACGCAGCACCAAACAATCAAAGTAAACCAGTGCTTTGTCCCCTACCGTTTGTTAGTTTGTTAAAAAAAACAAGAAAAAAACAAGAAAAACAAAAGTGCCTTCGTCGACTAAAGTGACGCATCCTAGCCCAGATATGTTACTGATGCCCGGTTCGCCAAACTAAGACAGAAATGCGAAGTTTGGGTTTTGTACGTGTGTTTGTGTGTACATAAGTTTCAGTATTACGTCCCCTGGGCAGTCTTTTGATACCAATTTCTGCCGACAACGTTGTGGCAAGTTAGTGTACATAAGAACGAGAAAAAAAACAACGAACAAACACCACCCCTTCACCGTCATTCCTATCGTCATCGTCACCACCCCCCGCCACCACCACCGCGAGTGCGCAAGACTCGCAGCTTCATTGACCAAACAAAGAACGCCCGCACCTGTATTACATGGACAGATCTCACGGATAACGGACCCAGTGACCGAGGTGTTTCTTTCGGCTAATCCATCGCGTAACCCAGAGAGCGTATATTTATTTGAATCGATCCGCGGTTATTTGTGCCTCCCCGCGCTTTTCTCGCGAGTGCCTCCACCGCGATGGTCGGGCCGCTTGGTGAGCACCCCACCGGGCTTCTGGTGATCACTGCGCCTGGGCACCGCTTTGCTGTGTGTACAGATACATCTCCTATTATGTGGCAATGGATGCAATTAAAGAGAGTTATTGTTTGTCATGACGAAGCGACTCTTCACTATGAACGGCGCCTGTGATGTGACCAGATGGTCGACGGCAGCGGAGCCACCGGGTTACGATAGTAGACTACAGCTTTCGTCCTGTAGCCGCCATTTTCGACACTTCACTGCCACATTCCGCCGGCACCTATTGGAGTCTATTTGCTGCGTAGGTTCCACCTTTCCCCGGTGTCGCTACTCTTGTGAGGCTCAGTTAGCTCTGTTGTGGCGAGGTCCCTGCTTCGCCTCTGGCCAGCCCTGCAAAGCACCCGGTTGCCACAGAATGACCCCCTGTTGGCTTCGAAAAGGAGGCCATCGGAACGCCATGTTGAACCATAGCGCACCAGACCAACACCAAATCGAATAATCGAAACCTGTAAACAGCCTGCACTATACCTCCAGCTAAACTGACCACACGGCGACAGCTCGGCAATAGACCATACTGCGAAACACACGGCAACTCTCATGCCGTCTTTTCGACGCACTAAAGCTAGTCGATGTACGGCGCATAAATAGGAGCTACTCATGTTTGTTGAGGATTTCGCGATTTTAGAACGTAAAGGAAGCAGGACGGTAACAAACCAGGTATACGTAGGAACTTTGTCATGCGTTTTCTCTGATAATTTTTTTTTTTAACTCGCAGTGGTAAGAGAGTAGGAATCGAGCCACATTTAGGGTGTACGGAGTGCTCAACTCGGAACGGCCCCACAATTCCCACCGCCGTGCCTTGCAACGTGGGATTGACGAAAGGCGTCGTGCGATTTTTCGGACACGTCTAGTGACACGACTGTGACCGTCCTTCGGCACATTGATTGGACACGAGCCCCGGCCGAACGCTGACACGGCACTCGTGTTCATGCAGTGTGTGCACCAATTACGTTACTAGATTAGGTCAGTTATGGAAATGCCCATAGACGCTGCTTGCACGAACAGTACACCCACCCCTACCCCTCACTCTCGCCACGGCTCGCCTCCCGTCGTTCGACGCGCCACCGTTTCTGGGGGACGGCTGCTATGGTAACTGCAGTGTGTTCTCTATGGAATACGTATGTTTCGAAGCTCAGCGTCTAGAGGGCGTTTCAACGTACTCTATGAACAAAGTTACTACAACACTCAGTTGGGAAACTCGCCCTTGGAAACCGGACCCCTCGCGTCCACCGAGACCAAACTAAATACTATAACAGCGCCACCCTTTATCGACTAGCAAAAACATGAATATTCACTTATATTGCTCCTGCGAAATGGCGCTGCGAGATGGCGCCACCGGCCCTTGAGCGACTCGACCTGAACTGATACCTGCAGTTCCCGGAGTGGCCGCTGCGGGAGAAATGGCGGCGTTTTGCGATCGCCATTAGTTCGGTTCTTGAGTGCATCGAAGCCACTTTTTCAAAACAGGCTCTATGGCAGTTTTCAAACTGAGTTGTTATGGTAACATTGTCTGTAAAACGCACAGTTTTGACACGAAAATCTAGATGGCGCTTCAAACTAAACTAAAATTCACAAAAAGATATCTTAATTCGCTATATAGAGCAGTAAGTCAGTAATGCCCCACGGGAAGCCGGACCATTTTTTGCTACACTTCTATAGGGGAATTAGTATAAGTGGTGTTGACCACACTGCCCTTATTTGGATAAAAATAATATCTGAAGATGAAGTTCAGCCTCATCAACGGCTTTGCAGTATCAGCGTACACTGTATCACTGTACATTGGTTAAACGTTTTAACAAATATACACTGATACTTGTCCGATGTATTACGAGAATCGGGAGCTTGAAACGAAAGCAGGCAGCAGAGGGAACCGGATGGCCTTTCGCTACCGCGTCTCGCTATGACGTCACGGAATTCTTTACGTGACGAGTCATGGTCCTGAGCGGAGAATGGCTGCAGCTTCGTTTCTTATTTTTACCCGCGTCGCGGCACGTGACGTCGTAAACATTCACGCTGAATTTAGCGGGAAAATGTACGGGATATAGTTGGGAGTTTTAGTAGATCGTTCCGATACCTCCGATAACGATACGTTGCATGCGCAAAAGCTTCAGCGGGTTATCGGGTATCGTCATAGGGATTATCGCAACGATCTACTAAAACTCCCTATTAGGGAGTTTCGTAATGGTTTTCGCCGTCCCGAAACGCCCTCCCGCTACGATGCCCGGAACTCTACAGTCAAGGCCATCGGTGCGCGCACCGATGGCCTTGACTTTAGAGTTCC